GACAAACCCGAGCATGCCTGCAACATGATTCTAAAGAGGCAAAGCTACTTGATTTTCAAGGAAACTTCAACAAAGAACTCTTTATTGCTTTTAAGGACGTGAATTGTGTTCCACCTACATAGTTAATATAATCCTAGAAATAATACTCAATTGTGAATATATGATGTTGTAAAGAAATTATTTAGCCAATCCAAGGAAAAAAAATTGAGGAAGAATACCAAGAGAAAAATTGAGGAAGTTTGAGACAATCTAAAGAGAGTTTTATATTTTGTAATCAAAGTTTGAATAAAATAAAAGAGTTTTTGTTATGCATTACAATTCTTTCTTATAAATAATGTAAGCGAAAAAGATATATAATGATAAAGAAAAAATAATATGTAGATGCAATGAATGATTAAGAAAAAAAAAATATAATGATAAAATATATAACACTAAATTGAGGTATATAAGTTTTTTTATCTCTTTTTCTATTTCTAATAAAAATATGTTGAAATAGAAAAATTTATATACATGCAATTTTTCTTTTTTTTTAGTATGTTGAATGATAAATTATATAATAAGGGATAACTCTTTTCTTTTAAAACCCTTTTTCACTCATCACAATATTTAAATTTGAGATCTCTATATATATGTAATGTCTAAGAAAAAATGATAGAGATAGGAGTATAACAAAGGAAAAAAGATAATATATATAGTAGAGAAATAAATATGAAGATATAAAATGTGAGAAAAGAAGCTGAGAGAAGAAGTTTTAACAAAAAAAAATGAGAAGTTTCAACAAAAAATAATGAGAGGCAAAGGTAAGCGAAAAAATTAAATATTAAGATAATAATAATAGGTCATGCTTTTTATGTTTTAACTTGAAAACATTTTTAATATATATAAAGGGATAGGAAGGAAGACAAACTGGATTAAAAAAAATATAGTGATAGAAAGATGTGTACATATGTATGTGAGGATTGATTAAGAAAGAACAATAGATAAGGGTAGAGGGAAGAATAATCAAAATATAAATTATTAATATAAAGAGATATATGAAAATAATATACGAGAGTAAAAGTAATATAAGTACAAAATAAAACAAAAAATTATAGATTGATTAAGAAAGATTTATATGGAGAATAATATCAGTTGCTAAAAAAGAACTAGAGAGTTGAAAAAAATTAAGAATTAGAAAGATATGATCTTATTGTAAAAAATCAAGAAAAAAATAATATAAAAGTGAATAGATAAGGTGGAGGGTAAGGAGAAAATGATTAGATCTAATCATTTTCAAATAATTTATTAATATAAAAAGAAAAAATAAATAGAAATGATTGACAAGTATTATAAAGTTTATTTATATTAATTATTATTGTAAAAATTTATAATTAATAAAAACCCAATAAAATATAGATTAATCCCATGAAGTGTCGGTTGAGTTCTAGCTTATGATAAACTATTAACAAAAGGAACAAATTTCTATGTCGTAGAAAAAAAATTTGTCTGCCCCTTAAAATTTTTGGTCAAGCTTCGTTCTTGCCTTCTTGCCTTGAAGAATATGCCATGCTAAGTATAAGAACATCATGTCAATCGTGATGATGAAAATGATGATCATGTTGATGACAATGATGATCATGATGAGAACAGTAACCCTGATAACAATAATTATGATAGCCAAGCTAGTTATGACGAATGTGTTGAGGATGGTGAAAAGGATGAAGATGAACAAACTTTGGACCGAGTCTAATTACCCGACAGTAGCCTTACGATAATGCTGACTGCAACGTGCTGATGGGAATCAATTTCTACAAATCAAAAACTGACACATTAGCCACGTTATTCTCGTTTAAGGGAGAGGAGAGACTTTCCGAACATGAAGTTGGATACTTCCAAGGGATTTCATGCGAGGTATCCAAAGAAATCTTCTTTTTCTTTATATTTTTCTCTTTTCTTATGTTTAAAGTCTAGGATAAGTATTGAATCACAAGCTTTTTATTTTACTTTTCTAAAGTATTGTTGCTTTCATGACCATTATACACATCAAAAAATAGATGTTGCCTAGAAAAACGACTACAAATTAAAGTGACAGTCAATTTTCAGTTCTATTTTTTAAAAGAATATATTAAAGTGACTTTCATGTTAATGGCATTAGAGTAGCGGGGTCATTGATCCAGGCCTCATAGAATTCAACCAATTAAAGACTTGCAGGGTCTTCGCCTCACTTTTTCTCATTGAAATTTCTTCCATAGAGCATATATCCAAATTCACTTCCTTTCAATCAGTCTCACCATACAATGTTCTACTATAGAAAAGTCTTACTATGTCTTCCTTTAAATATAGATTTTAGATTTTACCACTACAGGTATTACCATGCTTTACAAAATGATTCCGTTGTATCTAAAGTTTTTTATTTTGCTTTTCTAAATTAAGTTTTGTTGCTTTGATGGCCATCACACACATAATGTTTCCAAACAAGCAATCAAAGACTAATTAAAGTGACAATTATACTAAAGGGACTGTTTTATGGTAAAGCTTTTTTTTTTAAAAAAAAATTTGGTATAGAACTTCTTTTTCTTCAATCAGTTAAGCATGCATTACTATGCTTACTAATTTATAAATAAAATATTTAAAAAAAAAGAAAATAAATCCCTTAGTTAATTAGTTAGATCTGACTTCATCCATGACTTATTAGCCTACCTTATCTAGGCTCCCTTTCAATTTTGTTCAACTTATATTTTTTCTTGAAAACACTATTTTGCAAGTTGTCTTCTTAAATTATTTTAAAAAAATTTGTTTAAAAACTCGTTATTAATTAATATTTTTAAAAACTGATATTAGATTAAAAATTTTATTTATGTATGCTAATTTCAAATTATTCTAATAGGCTTAATTATTTTTTTTATTACAAAAAATTTAATACCATTAAATATATGTAAGTAAATAGAGTTTTTTAATAAAAAAATAGCTATAAATATTATATTAATATAAAAATTGATGGGTATAATCTACATTAATAAAATTTTCATTCTAATGATTTAAAAATATTAATTAGAATGTGAGTTTTTAGATAAACCTTCTAAAAAATTTTTGAGAGGATGAGTCTTACACTATCCTCCTTTTTCTTACAATAAAATTATTTTTTATATAATTTTCTTAGGGGGTGTTTGGTAAGGAGAAACTTTTCCTCTAAACTGTTTTAAAATTTCTTTTTTATAAGGTTATTTATCATATTTTTAAATATTAATAATACAATAAAATGAGGATAAAAGTGATAATTTTAGCTTTTATTTTCTTTAACACAACTCTTAACCTTTAAACTTTTCCTCTTAACTTTTTTTATATAAGACTCATTTGACAACTTTTTTATTAACTTTTTCTATATTAATTTTCTACCAAATATAAAGAAGTTAAGAAAAAAAATATATATCAATCTCGACTCCTAAAATAAACTAGAATCCCAACCTTAAATTATATTATTTTATTTCATTAAAATTCAATTCAAAATTTAAAAACCCATTTTATTAAATATTTGATATTTAGATTGAAAAATTGATTATATTAAAATATATAATCGATTTTCAAATTTATTTATTAATATTTAATAAGGTAAATTTTTAAATTTTAAATTGAAATTTTGATTTCCACGTATAGGTTGTAACTCAAAAAAACTTTTATTAAATTCAAAGCTGATACATATTAATTTCAAAAGTTAACAACCTAACAAAATTTCAATAAAATTTCACTACATAATTTATCAACTTTTTTTTATTATAATTTTCTAACTATTTTCATAGTAAAAACAAGTTTTTACTAGTAAATTGGCCTTCTAAGTTCTAACCAAACAGACTCTCATTGAAAATCCCTTCCAAATACCAACTGGTGTGGTTATGGCCATTAATGAAAATATTAAAGCTACCAAAACAGTGTTAAAAAATATTGATTCTATTTAATTTAATTATTAAAAACAACTAATAATTGATAAAATAAGTAATAATTATTACTTAATAAAATAAAATTAATTATAGACTTATATTTTTAAAAATCATAATTACTTATTTAAAAAAATTATAAATATTAATCAAATTATATATGGAAAAAGTGCATCTCCCAACTCCAAATAATAATTGGAGTTTTAATATTAAATTACATCAATTTATTTAATTAAAAGGATAGTAATTGGTACACATTTCGATTCAACACATTATACATTATACAATATACTCATTAAAAAATCATTATTTTTTAATTTGAAATTAAA